CGCTGTCGAACCGCACGAACTGCGTGTCGTCCACGTAGCCCACGGCGTCGCTGTCGAACCGCACGAACTGCGTGTCGTCCACGTAGCCCACGGCGATGAAGCGGGGCTGCCCGCGGCCGGGCCGGGACACGGAGGTGTAGAAATACCTCATGGAGTGAGAGCCTGGGGGCGAGGAGAGGCTGGGACCCGCCCGACCCTCCTCCCCGCGCGGCTCCCCGGGTCCTGAGCCCCCGCCGGGCGGGCCCCTCGCTCCTCCCCGCAGAGGCCTTTTCCCTCCCGACCCCGCACTCACCCGCCCGGGTCTGGGTCAGGGCCAGGACCCCTGAGAGCACCAGGAGGAGGGTTCGGGGCGCCATGACCGCCATCCTAGGCGTCTGCGGAGAATCTGAGTCCTGGTGGTGAGTGGAGACTTTAGAACCGGGACTGCGGCGACGCTGATTGGCGTCTCTAGAAACCCGACACCCAATGGGAGTGAGAACGGGGTCCGCGTCGTGACTATTCCGGAAGAAGGACACGATGCAGGTTGTGAGAAGAAGAGAAACTGCGGAGATGGGGAATCCCCAACGCTGGGACTCCCCAATCCATACACCGCCTTCGGGGCCTGAGACCCTGAGAGCCACACCTGGGGCCCTGGGACTTCGCCCTGACCCCGCTCCTCTTGTGCCAAGCGCTCTGTCTCACTGTCTCCCTGAGTCTTGGCCCAGGAGCTGTCTGAGAAACCAGGAAGAAACCCTCCGCATGGGCCCCGTCCCTCTCCCTTCACTTTTCATCCCGGAATCTCCATCCGTGAACTGGACTCCCTGCCTCCCACTCCTTACCTATCCCCTTGGACTCTTCTAGAAGAAAACTCACCCCACGGAGCTTGGTACCAGAGACTGAGCTTACTCTGGGAGTGAAGGTATAGAGACTTTTTTTTTTGGTTGTTGTTTTTTTTCTAAATCTGGAAAAGTTGCGCCTGAGTGCATGAGATAGAATAGAGATCAGTTTGCTGTTTGTTTATTAAATACATTGGGTTGTAGAATCTTGGTAACCCCCAAATGATCAGGAATCTAATCGGTAAAAAATGTGACTTTGGCCCCTTGATTTATAAATGTGTCCAAAAGCGTTACAACAGGACTCACAAAGCTCCTAAATTTCACTTTCGCAAACAATGTATCTGTGACTCCCACTTGTCGTATTTTAAATTTACCATCATTCCATAGCTCTGAGTTTCTGTGTGAGTCCAGGATATTTCCTCAGTATAAACTAGCACACTGTGTTACTATATGTTGCAACCAGGAGACCTATAGTTTGCAGACTATATGTCCGCAAACAGTACAGACTATTCACCTCACAGTTGCAACTGTTCAATGCAGTCACAATGCCCCTCACCAGTGCTCATGCACTGCCTGTTTTTAGGAAGTATCCATTTCTAAGTGTTGTGTATGTTTTATAGAAACACTTAGTATTTTTGAAACCTGATTAACATAAAAGCAATTAGTTTTTAGGCAGACCCACATAAGATATTAAAGGCCAACTGCCAAGGACACCCTACTAGGCTCTGTAGATGGATATATTAAAATCCATAAAACAATGTATTGAAACCTAAGAATTCTGCTGCTTTCGAATTCTTTCCTCTGGTCCTTTTCCTCAGCGCCTGCTTCTCCAGCCCTTCCTTCAGTCCCTCTCATCCTTCAGACCCTCCTCTCCCCTTAGTCCCCACCACACTGTCACTCGTGAATTGTGACACTAGCACTGTCCCATGACCTGCTACGTGACTGTTGTCTTCACAGTGGTCCTGCTCCTGTCAGTCAGAGTGTGTCATTTCTCCACCTAAAACACTCTGGTGTCTCCACCTTGGTCTTGTGAAACTTCTGGAGTGTCAGGCAGGTGAGCATATGAAGGCATATCTAGTTCATCATAGGCACTAAATTAATTTTTGTTGACTTAATGAATGAAATATGAGTGTATTAAATTGCATCCCAGATAATTATGAAGTGTAAAACACTGAAAAAGTTCAGAAAGATTTTATGTTATGTAACTAGTGTGCGTATCAATTCATCAATTCATTCATGCACTACCACCCCTGGCGAAACAACGCCCATTTATCTACTTCTAGTTCCTTGCTCAGAAATCTGGGCAAGATGTGGATAGAATCTCTGTTCTGGGCTTCCAAAAGCTGTGTTTTCATTTTGAATCCTCCTTCAGGTTTATAGAGAGGTGGCAGAATGCAGTTTCTTACAGTTGTAAGACTGAAGTCCCTGTTCCTTGCTGGTTGTCAATGTAGAGAACGTGAAGGGCTGCGCTCAATTCCTGTTGTTCACCAGTGTTCTTTCCTACACAGGCCACCCCTCCTTTTTTGTTTTTTTTTTGGCAGAGTGTGGCTCTGTAGCCCAGGCTGGAGTGCAGTGGTGCAATCTCAGCTCACTGCAAGCTCCACCTCCCTGATTCACGCCATTCTCCTGTCTCACCCTCCCAAGTAGCTGGGACTACAGGCACCCACCACCACGCTCAGCTAATTTTTTTTTTTTTTTTTTTTTTTTTGTATTTTTAGTAGAGACAGGGTTTCACCGTGTTATTCAGGATGGTCTCGATCTCCTGACCTCGTGATCTGCCTGCCTCAGCCTCCCAAAGTACTGGGATTACAGGCGTGAACCACCGCACCCGGCCCATAGCCTCTTCATTTTCAAAGCCCACGGTGGAGGAAACCCCTCATGCTGAATCCTTTTCACACTGTGAATCTCTATGCTCAGGAAGAACCTGGTCCTTTCAAGGGCTCACCTGATTAGGACAGTCCAAGCAGGAGAAATCCAGCCTAAAGTCAACTAATTGAGGCGCTTAATTATATCTGCTAAATCCCTTCACAGCAGCACCTACATTAGAG